TACTTTGACATTTCAGGTTGATGGTGCAGCCAACCGTCATCAATATTGTTATCGGTTTTTTCAGAGGCATTATATAATTAAGACGTATACATCATCTTGTGAAAAATGACTAAAACTATTTGGTAAAATGTGGATATATTAGCTTGTGACTTGAAAGTTACATGGGCCCATAGAGGGTTAACCCTTTCGGCACGAGCGCCGGATGTATCCGGCATCCATCTAGTCGCCTGTGTGGCCGAGCGCCGGATATATCTGGCATCCATCTGATGATCGATATGGACGAGTGCCGAATACATCTGGCATCCATGTAAGCCATATTTCCGTAGGCCCTTTACCGAATGTTTACAGGAAACATTTAAAGAAAGATTTAGAGAAACGGATTAACCCTTTGGCCTATAACGACGAGTCTGACTCGTGGTGAAAAATTTGCGCCATAAGCGAAAACCACGAGTCTGACTCATGGTAAAGAATTTGTGCCATAAACAAAAGCCACGAGTCAGACTCGTGGTTAGTATTCATTTATAAATTGCTAATTCATTATCTACTTTGAAATAATACATTATTTTTGTCAACCGATCAATCGATTATGATTGCACCCCAGACGTCTTAAAATTACTATTTGTACCTAAACATTGTTTATTATTTCGCAATTCCTTTCGTTGCACTGAAAGGTACACATTTTGCGCCAGTTCAGGTATACGGCTGAACAGTTGAATGGCACGGCGCGCGACCGATTTTCTTGTTTACTATAGCTCGCGCAATTGGCAGATATCGTGTAGGCCAAGGGGTTAAGCACAGTCATTACTTAACGCTTAAGAAAATCTTCGTACAAAAGTGGACTGACCCTGCGTTACGTGCGCATTTTCGGCGCGGCACCCCGTACAGTGGGAGTGTCACGGCGGACAACGCGCTCGTACCGGAAGGGTTAATGCCAGTCCACGTGATTGCATGGCTCGTTTCGCGGCTGCGTCTCGGTCGCAACGACATGATCGACAAGCGGCGACGTTCTAAGAATGATTATTTCGGCTGATCCGAGCAGGATGTAATTTGCATAGCACTTTCCCCGACGAGCACGAGCCCCGGAACGGCGGGATGCATCGCGACGATTCGGAGAACGCGACCGGAGAACGCTCCATCGAGAGCATCTCCTCTCCCCTCCCCCCTCGCCGCAGCTTCTGGCGCGAGAGGTGCTCGCGGACGAATTTCCAGCTCCGGTTTTCCGCGCGCGCGGACGCGAACAAAGGCGAATCAGCAGGTGTCGGTGAAACGTCGAAACGATTGAAAGAGGCCGCGTCGCGTGCCATCACGTATTCTCGTTCCGTGACCCATAGCAGCGCGGCTCGCGTCGTCGCCTATCGCCGTGCGATCCATGCTTCGACTCCGAACACGGTTCGGCATTCCGCGAGACACAACACAGAGCCTTGCTTTTCAAAAACTGTTGTGGCGGACCGGACATAAAAAGCCACGTCCTCCAAAAGCGGGGTGTGCAGATGCCTTTTTCGGGTTTTCCCGACGCAAGGCGTACACACCGCCATAAAACGATAAAACCGTTGGGACACAGCTTCGGACCTTAGGTTCCGCATCACCCCGGTCGGAAAATCTTCGGGAAAGGCCTTCGTCCTTCCCAAGGACCTTCCCTTACCGATTTCAATACGCTCTCCCCAATAAATACGAGGACCTCTCGACCGGGAGACGTTAGTTAGCTAGTTTTCCTCCGACTCTCGACGTGTTCGTATTTCTGTCTCATCCGTCACTCGCTTACCTTTACCTTTTACACACTGTACCCCCCATCGCCTTTTTGTTACAAGTTATATTAAAGTTCTCGTTACATAAAAACCAAAAAAACTGTCTCGGATTATTTTATATAAACCGTCGCAGTAACCCCTGCGACAAACTGTCGAAAAATACTATGCTGGTTAGATCGACGTATCGTGGATCGGAAAACAGATTTTCGAATCAATCGTTCACGAGGATTTCTCGTGGCGCCTAAAGATACGCTCGCAAGTACCGAGGTGTTGTACGCCGACGTTGATCCGCGAAGGGTGCGCAAAGGATTAATTCCTCGAAACCTGGCGAGATTTATCCAATTACCGTATCTTTCTCTCTTCGAGATCCCGCTGCTTCGTCCGCCTTCCACCGCCTCGACGCGAGGGTTCGTTCGGTCGCAGAGATTTCGAGATCTCGAGGACACCCTTTCGAGTCCCCGAAGGAGAAGCAAATCGACTCTGCTTTGTTAGGAACAACGGCGAAGGGGGATCTCGATGGTTCGATCTCGGAGCGCCGGCTTCCGACAGCGTCTCGGCACGGCTCGGCTCGGCTTGGCGCGGCGCGAGACCATTTCCGGTTGATCCGCGCGAGCTCCAGGCGATCTCCGTGGAACGGGAAACGTTCGGCATCGCGGACGAGGGAGCCTTCTGCGACAAACTGCATCTATCGGTACGAGGAATCCAATAGTCGTCAGTGTGTTTCTGGAACTCACGTACCATTCGGACGTCTCGGCAGTGCCAGGGAAGAGCAGGAGGAGGAGAAGGAGAAGGAAAGAGAGAGCCGGCGCTGGTTGTTCGGCCCGCTCGCGACGAGTCTTCGTTCTTTCGCTTCTTTCCACAAGCTTACCGGTCTAAACAACTTCGCGGCCGCTTCCGTCGAACTTCCACCAGCCTCGATTTAACCCTTCGCGGCGGCGCGGCTTTCCAAAGTTTCTCCAGCCGGCCTCCTTTCGGCCGAAATACCACACCCCCTGGGATACGTTCGACGCGCGCCGGTCTCGCGAGAGCTTCCGGCTAGATTTCGAAAGAGACGAGCTCGGTAATAAGCTGGAAAGACGATGCGAAAATTTCGTGAACGCGGCGCGTTCCAGTGCCACTGAAATTAAAGCCCGCGGTAACAGGGTCGTTTTATTCGACGAAACTGTAACGAGGAAATTATGGTTTACCGGAGGAAATGCGATCGGTTTAAGGAGAATGGAGCCTCGGAGAAGCGAAATGTTGATAAATATGTGAAGAGAAGCGTCGCGAGTTGTGCTCGTCGTCGTTCAAGAAGCGTCCAGGTTCGAAAGGGTTTGAAGTCGAGGGATCTCGTCGGAATGGACCTTGAAGCAGCGAAATGTTGATAAAAATGTCAAGAGAAGCGTCGCGATTTGTATCGTTCGAGAAGCGTCCGCGTTGGAAAGGGTTCGAAGTCGAGGAATCTCGTAGACTCGAGAGATCGCGATCTCGTCGGAATGGACCTTGAAGCAGCGAAATGTTGATAAAAATGTCAAGAGAAGCGTCGCGATTTGTATCGTTCGAGAAGCGTCCGCGTTGGCAAGGGTTCGAAGTCGACGAATCTCGAAGACTCGAGAGATCGCGATGTCGTCGGATCCGGGCGCGAAGTTCGGGTCGCCGTTTCCTGTCCGGTTTCCTCGATCGGCGGATCGCGTAAGATCGAACTAGATATGCTCGAGGCGTGGGTTCCAAGTACCGGAACGGAACGGAACGGAACAGAATCGCGAGATCGAGAGAGGGTACCGGGACACAGAGAGATATTGGGTTAGTTTTTGCAGCTGGTTTCTAGTTTCCACAGTGGTGCAATGAGGCCTGCGCTTCCCGTAGACGATCGCCACGTTCCAGATTAAAACTCGCACTGGTGACGCGGCCGAGGACGAGGACGTTGGATCCAGAAAAACAAGCGGTTCCCCGGTGGTCCCCGACGCGTCGACGAATCGATTTTCTCAGCCTCGCAGCGACTCGTCTCTTTCCCAACGTTTTCATCTACCGCATCGAAATTTATTTCGTAGAGGATGCGACGATGCTTTTTGCTTCCGTCGCGGGCTTCGACGCCTACGAAAGTCGACCTTCGCGATCGAGACGGCTGTGTCGCTGTTCGGATAGCGGAACGGTTGTTGCAGGACATTCATTGGCATTTCCTGGTTGACGGATAACTCGACCAATGAAACTGAAACTGGTTTAGTTTAAATAGAGTTTGAATTGCTCGTAGCGGATGATATTTTAACTCTTTTGTAGCCTAAGGAATTGCAACCTAAGGAATGGCTACGAAAATACATCAAAAATGAATGCGTTGGGAACTAGTGAAAAATCGCACGTACTTATGCTAGCGGCGCCGGCACTCCAAGCGTCAATTGTCGACGGTCCAGTAATGTCTCTCTAATTGACGCCCGGGTGGCCACGAAAATGGACAATTTGGGAAGAGGAGATACGATTGTTCGAGCCTTGCGGTTTATCGTTATAATTATAAATTGTCCGCAATTATGAAAACGAGCCGCAAGATTCGAATAATTGTATCTCCTCTTCCCAAATTATTCATTTTAGTGGACAATCTGAGCGTCAGTATGGGAGACATTACTGTATTTGTAAGTTGCATCGCCATTTCTAAGACGGTGACCGATGCCGACGATCTCGAGACCGGAGATTTTTCGTCGATCGCGGATCGAATAGGATCGGTGGGAACGGAGCTAAGCGAAACCAAATCATTAAGAGAGAAACGGAGAAAAAGAGGGGGCACGGGAAGAGAGATACCGGTGCACTTGGCCGGGCCGGGCCAGGCCGGGTCCCAGCGTCTACGTGCCGGTAACTTTATTTCGTCGACTTTTTTCTCGACACGCACGTCGCGGGGCCCGGACCCCTGTCCTCCACGGGAGATTTATGCTACCGACATTGAAACTAAATTACGCCATAAATTAACCTTAAATTCGTGCTTTCGGTTCGGGCATGCTGTCTCCTCTCCTCTCCTCTCCTCGCCGCTCCTCCTTGCGACCGTTCACAAGTCGTTTCGGACCCCTTCCGCCCTTCGACCTTCGAGAATCGTTCCCTCGATGTCCGCCGATTCGTTCGGGACCTCTAAGGGTACCTGCAAGACTCTCGTTCGCGTAATTTCTACTTTGGGTCTCTTCGGAGACCGTCAGCATTTTTTTGGACTTTCTAAGAGCCGATTTACCCTTCGGGTAAATCGCGGGTAGCTTCGACTACCGTGGAACCCGTGGAAATTAGTTGGCGAGTCGAAACTGTTCGGAAGCGTTTTATAGAAAAATCGTTCGAAAAGGCTGCACAAATTGTTCGCTTTTTACAAGCAGATCGAGCGTGTCGAATACATAGATCGTTCCGAAAGAATGGGTCTTGGACGGGCATCGATTCGTCGGACAAATCGTTCCTAATACTTCGGAGAAGCATCGAATCTCTCCAAGGAGATTCGCCGTTCGTCGGAAGGAACCCGCAACAGATTTTTATTCGAGGCTCCTCCGCTCCAGGGTCTCGTTCCTTTCGGTCCTTTTCTCGTGGTTCCTGTTTTCGGCTATCGATCTTGCGATCGATCGGGCCCGAGCGGGCCGGACTCTCTCTCTCGCGTTACTCGATCGCAGCAACGAAATAGTAATTATTCGTTCTTGTCGATCGGCGAACGGAAGAAAATACGGGGGTACGGCCGCGGCCGTGACCGTCGGCGCGCAAGAAACACGAAGGTGATCCAGAGTCGAGGACGAAAATTAAGGATCATTAGCGCCGATAAATCGAAACAAAGTACCGTTTCGGCAGCTTTAATCCCGCGGACGCTCCCGAGGAGCTGTTCCAGCGATAAATTTCGCCGGGTGGGCGTGTAATCGATCGCCGTTTATTCGTCGCTGCTTGTTTCCGACGGCGCAGCGAGCGCGTCTCGCTCGCGACGCCTGGAATCGGTTGACAGGAACGATGCTGTAAAACGATCGTTGTTTTTTTCAAATAGACTGCTCGTTTTTACAGGTGTACGTGTGTGCTGTTGCGACAAAATTTTATTGACAAACGGAGACCCAAGAGACACGTGCGACCGTCGCGTACAATCATCGTCGTACAGCTTCCGTGCGCGCGTCGCGACGCTCGCGATCTCGGCTTTCGCGATTTGACGTCGATGATCGACGATCGACGAACGACGAACCGGAGCGATCGATTCGCGGGATACTTTCTCTCGACGCGGAGCAAACACTGTGCAGAGAGACGACGAGTCGGCTAGAAGGAAGCGCGTCGCTCAGAATGCTCGCCGATGCTCGCGATTCTACTTCGATTTTACTGTCGACTTTCATTTATCTTTTTTTCTCTTTGTTTCAGGAATTAGGATGATCGCTCCTGGCGCTCTGCTAGCCGGCTTCTCGTCTCTGGAACTTCGCTCCGACCGATCTCTTCCCGAGCTTAACGCTAAACCTACCGAGCGCCGAAGTTGTTCGCCGCGTGCTGCTTCGCAGGAATTACAAGACGGAATTTATTCAGACATCTCGCTACGTTTATTACAAGCTGTAATTACGGATTGCGTTCGATCGTTTCCTATGAAAGAGTCTTTAGAATTTCAACGAAACGAAGCGGTCGCTCGTCGATGGATTCGGCGCGTCAACGTCGAATGCAAACCTTTGTGACAGTCCTCCTCTGTCACGCTGTCGCACAGTGACAGCGACGGAGCAACAAAATCGCTAAGAAAATTTTTACGGGCTCGGAAAGGACGGTGCGTGTCGCGAGACACGTGCGGTAATCGGCGGACGTAAGACTAGCGTGAATAATACCATACGCGCGAAGCGATCGAGCGTTTCGGTCGTCGATCGTCGAGCATCGCGAGGCCTCGGTCCCGTCGATCGCGTCCGCGTGCATACCAGAACACAATAAATTAAACTTTCGTCTACGATAAATAGATTTCGAAGCTCGTTCTCCCCGACGCAACGTTCCGCTTCGACGTAGGGCCGCGGCATGAGCGACCCGTCCGAATCCGCTGAGCAATCTTCATCGTCGCTAACTCGTACGCTTTCTTTGTGTGTGTGGTGTGGTGTGGTGTGTGTGTTTTAATTACCGGCCCGTGTTCCGCGCCTACCAGTCGAATATTTTACAAGCTCTTCAATATACTTTGCCGATTCCGACGCGACGAGAATCGCGCGTCGATGTCTCGTGTAATTTCCGAGAAAATAAATGTCCAGATACGACGGAATACCATGTTCTTGGTCACGCTCGTTTCGCGAGTTTGCTGCGTATTTTACACACAAATGCGAAGTTGGCGAAATCCTCGAACCCCCCCTAATTTCGCTGGTGCCGCGTCGTACTCGATTTTAATAAAAATCCCCGAAGCGGATCTCACGCAATAAGCGATTTAAAATGACCGGTGCGTCGCGGATCTTGGACTACGCGCGCGGCAAAAGTTTGGCCCCCGCGTGAAACAAGGACCGGCAGTGTATAATTACGTGTATCGTGGTGTGTGTTAATGTCTCGTGTATACTGGCACATTAGAAAATGGCGCGCCTCTCTCACGGACAATGAGAGACCGTGGCAGGAGCGTCGGACGCGAGAGCCGCCCGCGAGCCGTCCGCGAGCCTGCCGCGCGTTCAGCCTCTACTCGGGTGATCACACGGTGTATCATAATAGAATAAATATCGGTAGAAAAAACGTAATAATAGATACCGAACGAACGGACAAAATCGTAGATTCGCCGACCGAGAGACGACAGAGAGAGACGCCGGAGTGCGATCCCGTCGGCGTTTTCCCGAGCTTCGAGCGTGTCAGACTCGCGCTTTCTCTCTTTCGGAATCGTCCTCCTCCCCCGCTCCGATCCTCGGGATCTCTTCGAAGACGCTGAAGAAGACTGGAGGAGAGAACGATCCAGGAGCATCCTAGTTCCCATTGATCTCGATGGTGGTCACGGAATTCGGCTGGTACTCCTCTTCGCCGGGCAGCGTGGCCGACGACGAAGGCGACGAAGACGAGGACGAGGACGGCGAGGACGGCGAGGGCGACACCGCGAAGCTGCCCAATCCGCTCTCGACGAGGCTCATCAGACTGTTCTGGCGAGCTTGCGCGATTTTCTCAGCCCTGGCCTTCTCCTCGGCCTTCTTCTTCTCCGCGGCGGCCGCGCTCGCGTTTCCGCTCTTCGTGTTCTCCTTGATGAACTGCTCGAACTTGGACAACTGCCTCTCCGTAACCGTCTCCTTGGTCTCGCTCTTGGCCAGCGGCAGGCCGTGCTTGGTCACCGTGGGCTTGTAGGTCTTGACCTTGGAGTGACCCTGGATAATGAGGTACATGGGCCCGCGTATGGGCTTCGCCGGCTGCTTGTAGTGCGAGAATATCGGGTCCGTGGTCAGGCTCTGAACGGTGGTCACTTGCTGCGGCGAAGGCGTCGCCGGCGGAGTCTCCTCTTCCTTCTCCTTAGTCAGAATAGAGCCCAGCGGAGAGTTTTGCGTGGAGCTGTGCTCCATGCTGGAGATCGTAGGCGGAAGAGGACTCGGCGTGGTGGCGATCGGGGCGGTGGTGTCCGGCAAGCGGGATCTATGCCGGTCCTCCTCCATTCCTAATTCAACGAGCTGTCCGCTCAAGGAAGAGGCCACCGGGGACTCTGTGAACGTCATCGAGAACTCTTGCTGATGGGGCTCCATGGGGTGGTGGCTCTTGACGGGAGGCGCGTGGATGTGCGTCATGGGCGGGAACATCCCCATTGGACTCGGCACTCTGAACCCGACGCCGGGTCGCATGCTGCCCAGGAACTGCATCATCGCGTGGTTGGGCCTGGGTTGAGGGTGCATCATGGACTGAAGAGGCGCCTGCGGAAATGCGAACGCGTGCATCGAGCCCGACTGCGGCCGAGCAACCGGTCCAAGGACCGCTCCGGAAAATGGGCCAGAAAGTGGACCAGGTTCGGGATAAGGCTGCCTGTGAGGCTGCATCATCCTGTTGGGCATCATCCCGGGGAACTGCACGGACTGATGTTGAACAGACTCCTCGGACATCATCGGAGATCCAGCCGCAGCGTTTCTGGATGGTTCCGGCCGGCGATTGCTCGCCGCTTCCGGTTCCGCGGTCGGCGAGGCTTCGGGAGAGCCGGTCTCAGGGAAAGTCGGGAAGCTAGGCTTCTTCTCCGAGTAGTTGGTCGGCATCACCACCGCCACGGGGGCCTTGTCGATCTCCGAGCTGCCGGAGGCGTTCGCGAGGACTATGTGCATCTTCTCCTCGGTCTCCGCGTGCGTCTGATCGCCGCTCGAAGCGAAATCGGCCGCCAAGGGAGCCGGCAGCGACGGGACCGCCTCCTTCTGTCCCACGATCACCTCCTCGTTCTCGCCGCTGTCCCCGTCGACGATTATGTTGGCGTTCTGTTGATCTACCACCACCTCATGATGGTTCGAGGACGCTGCCACATGATGGTCCAGCTCGTAGCGATCGCGGTTGTAGTCGTGGCCCTGCCAGAGAGGCTGATCCGACGCGGTGCTGGGCGTCGACTGGACGATGGCGCTGTTGGGCCAGCCGCTGGAGACGGTTTGCGTGGATTGGTAGATCAGGTTGGACTTCTCGAAGGACACCGAGGGTGCCGTCACGGACTCCGGCCGTGACTTTTGCGGCTGAGGAGTGGACGACGCCTGCTGCAAGCTCTTGATCGTCTCCACCTGCGACACCACGACGTGGCCTCCTTTGCCGACCGATTTGAAGCTCTGGGACTGCGGTTGGGACTGGGACTGGGACTGGGACTGGGATTTGGTCGGAGGAGGAGGAGGATGGCCGTTGTAGCCCTTCGAAGGCACGTAGAACTGCGAGGGCTCCCGGAGCACCGGTCCCTCCTCCGTCTGCGTGCTGAACTGCTGCGTCGGCTCCACGAAGCTCACGATCTTGTCCTTCTGCAGCAACGGTGGCGGCAACATCATCGTGTACGGCTTCGACTTGTGCCCGTAGAACGGGCTGGGATAATAGCTGGCGGGCATCGATTGGATCCGGTTCTGGTTTCTGTAGTCCATCGTCGGCCCGTTCCGGAAGCTCGTCGTTCTCAGCAACTTCGGCGGCTCGGCTCCTCCGCTTCCGGTGAAGTCGTTCCGATACGGAGCCGTTTCCTGGCTCGCCGTCTTCGTGAACTTCGGACCGTCCACGAACTTGAGGAACTGCTCCGGTATCTTCGGGCTGGTCTTCTTCGCCGTCACACCGAGAACCAGCACGTCCCGCTTCAACGACGATTCCGTCGTATGAGAGTCCAGCCAGTATTGCACTCTGTCCAGCACCGGGGGAACGTAGTCGAAAGTCGGGTTGTTCTTCAAGGGGTCACCGCGGCCCAACGGAGTCCACTCGTCGTAGTCCATTCGAGGGGAGAAGACGCGAGGTTTGCTCTCGTTCTGGCCTGTGAACAGAGAACGCCGTCGGTTTAGCTGGAATATCGTTAAATTCTTTTCTTTAACCCTTTGCATCCGAGTGGTGACTCCGAGGCACCACTAAAATTTGTTATGTCACCTTTTAAGATAATTAAATTCTTAAATTGTTAAGAGTGTAACTGTCGTACGAGTCCCCAAGAGTCAATTTCATATGCATAAAATGCATTTTATCATATAAAGTAGAAATACTAGAAGTTAGAAAAATGATTATATATTCTCAGTTAAAATAGCTTCGAGTGCAAAGGGTTAATTGTGTTATCGAGTTGTGGAAACGATGCGACAGCATTTTCAAATTCTTCCAGTGTATTTTTGCTGGATTTTTTGGATTTAATCTGTTTGTCTTTGCTGTAAACGCATAAAGGATTGCAGTCCGTTCGAAATAAGAGAAATAAGAGAGCTTCGGTGGTTGAAATGGTACTCGATGGTAACCGGAGGTGTTCGAATATGAATAAATAGGTAATATCTTGAATAACGAGGCGCGACACGACGATTAATCGATGCCCGTTCTATTATGCGTTTCCACCGATCACCGGACACGCGATTCCACTGATTTATCATGGCCGGTATTACCAACGCGACGATCCTACTACGACTGTCATAAATTTGTCGAACGCCTATCGCGGACTCTCTCGACTCCCCTGAGCTGGAACGCGAGAACCGAATGCGAGCGAATGGTAGTTTGATTCGTCGACGATACGCATCTCTTTCCGTCGGAAGGATTTACGTTGACATCGACGTCTATAAAGACGTCGAAATTAATCGCTCGGTCGATTACAAAAATCCACATTTTTCCTAAAAATAGAGATATCTTCGGAGATAACGATCGCGTTTGAAAATTTATGAATTACGGATGAAAACGTTCTGAACGGTCGCGACGTGGTATCGGAGGTCGGCTCGAGGGTGCATCGGGCGAAAAATGGCGAACGTTGGGGGAGCAAAGGTGATCGGATGGGTTCCTCGGCCGGTTCTTTTTCTCGGAGATTCTCCTTGGGTGCATGGATGTCCGGATAAATGTTTCATCGGTATGCCGAGTGGGCCGAGGTTCGCCGGTGACTCCGTCGCCGCTCCGAATGTCCCACGGGGACGAAACGGCTGGCTGCAGGCGCCAGTACTCGAGTCGTGTCGCATAAATACACGTGTCATGCGTCGCGACATAGTCGCACCGATGCACACGGGCACATCGAAACAAGCGCGGAGAAGGAACACGGTTACTCTCTGGCTCTGGCTCTGGTTGCGCACACATGCGCGCTCTCTCTCTCTCTCTCCCTCTCCCTTTCTTTCTCTCCGTTCCTCTCTCCTTTTACCTCTTCCACGCGTTCCCCCGTTCACCCCGCTTTCGTTACGTTTCTCGTCCCATTTGCGCATAATGCACGGCTAGATGCACGATCTCCGAAGTTTCGCAGGTTGCGCGTCGCATATTTCACGCAACGGCGACGCGCGACGAGTAATTGCATCGCGGATTTTTTCCGCGTGCACCGCAACCTAACGAGCGTCGTCGGCTTATTCTGAAAGCGGCGAATCGAACGTCGAGGGGCCAGAGATCAAGGTTTGTTTATGACAGGATGCGCCAGATTGCCCCGAGGGGCAACTGCCCTGGCTCCGTCGGAATCGGGAGCACCGAGGCCACGCCCACTCCCGGCACGCTGCACACTGCTGGCGTGGCCTCGGTGCTCTCGATTTGCACCGCGTTTCAACCCTTCCGCTAGGAAAATCGCCGCATTTTGCAAATAAATATATTACGTCTAGAACCGTCGAGCCCTAAACGCGAATGCCGTATCGCAGCAACGACAAGATTCGTTTTAAGGGAACCTCGCGCGACGTCGATTCTAAGGTATGCGACGATTAGGAAGTCTATCAAAGGATTTCTCGCGGAAACGTTTCTATGTAATTTCAATAATCGTGAGAGAAGAAATTTGAAACCAGCTATTTCGACTGGTTCTAGCGTTGATAACGATTAATAATGAATCTCTGATAGACCGAGCGCACGGTCAACAGGTGGAGGACGGTTCGAGGGACGAAGATTCCGGGAGAGATGAAATGCGGAAGATCTGTTGCATAGGTGGTCGGGTTTGCGACGAGCTTTGCGGATTCTTCGATCGCTGCGATGCAGAAAACTGCGGGAAAACGCTTCTCGGAGCTGTGGCCTGGAAAACGGTGTCCCGCGGCCAGAATTTCAAAAACATCCACGGTACATAGTAATGACATTAATAATCTCATCCGAGTCAGGAACGCGTCTCTCTCCCTCTCTCTCTTTCTCCCTCACTCTCTATGCTCGAGAGATTTAGGGAGCACGCGAGCGTGTGTGTGTGTGTGTGCACGCGCACGTGTGTACCGACGTGTACGTCGGGTCAGTAGGTCACTCAGCCCGGTGCTAAAGGAAAAAAAAAGCATTCGTGCGCGCCGATACACATAAAACATCGGCAAACGATCGCGCGAGCCTGTTCTATCGATTCTTGGACCGATCGATCGTCGCCTCGCACGCCAATTAATTAGTAGAATTTCACCGTTGGTCAGCGAAGACCTGCCGAGAATCGGAAACGGAAGGTTTCGCGCGCGCGCTCGCGAAAGCGTCGCTCCGTTTGTCCGCGAACGAACGGACCTCCGCACTGCGGAGAACAATCGAGGAAATGGAGGAAACGTTCGCGCCGCGGTAATTAAGATGAGACCCGTCGATGCGCCGGTTCGAGACACGTGACAATAAATCCAGGACAAGAAATCCGACGCGACGGCGACGCGGGACCAGACGAGACGAGACGAGACGGGACGACGGCACGGACTGCAAGCTCTCAACCTTAATGAATCTTTGCTCGTCGACGAATGGAGCAGCTCTCCCGGAAACGGCTCCTTGTCCACCTGAAACGTTGTCGCCAACGAACGGCCCGTTCGAACGGCTAAAGGCTGCGAAAATCGCTGCCAAAATCATTACGCCGTGCAACTTTTTATTCGACCATTGTAAAATAAGAAATCGGTAATTTTTAGTGAACAATTGAAATCAGAAGGCAGACTCACCAGGCTTGTTGTCGGCTCCGGAGGTGACGCTCTGGCAGGACGAGCAGCAGATCGCTCCCGCCAGGATGAGGCATCGGTAGAGAGCAGGGACCGATTTCCTGCTGGTCATCTGGAACAGGGAGAAGAGAAGCTGAGATCGATTTCGACGGTTTAGGGGTGGGTTCCCGAAAACGGTTTGCACGCGAAAAACGCGTCGCCGCGGGCCCGTGTCCGAGTTAATAATTCGAGAGAGAGAGAGAGAGAGAGAGAGAGAGAGAGAGAGAGAGAGAGAGGTCGCGCGACCTATTNTTTCCGCGTGCACCGCAACCTAACGAGCGTCGTCGGCTTATTCTGAAAGCGGCGAATCGAACGTCGAGGGGCCAGAGATCAAGGTTTGTTTATGACAGGATGCGCCAGATTGCCCCGAGGGGCAACTGCCCTGGCTCCGTCGGAATCGGGAGCACCGAGGCCACGCCCACTCCCGGCACGCTGCACACTGCTGGCGTGGCCTCGGTGCTCTCGATTTGCACCGCGTTTCAACCCTTCCGCTAGGAAAATCGCCGCATTTTGCAAATAAATATATTACGTCTAGAACCGTCGAGCCCTAAACGCGAATGCCGTATCGCAGCAACGACAAGATTCGTTTTAAGGGAACCTCGCGCGACGTCGATTCTAAGGTATGCGACGATTAGGAAGTCTATCAAAGGATTTCTCGCGGAAACGTTTCTATGTAATTTCAATAATCGTGAGAGAAGAAATTTGAAACCAGCTATTTCGACTGGTTCTAGCGTTGATAACGATTAATAATGAATCTCTGATAGACCGAGCGCACGGTCAACAGGTGGAGGACGGTTCGAGGGACGAAGATTCCGGGAGAGATGAAATGCGGAAGATCTGTTGCATAGGTGGTCGGGTTTGCGACGAGCTTTGCGGATTCTTCGATCGCTGCGATGCAGAAAACTGCGGGAAAACGCTTCTCGGAGCTGTGGCCTGGAAAACGGTGTCCCGCGGCCAGAATTTCAAAAACATCCACGGTACATAGTAATGACATTAATAATCTCATCCGAGTCAGGAACGCGTCTCTCTCCCTCTCTCTCTTTCTCCCTCACTCTCTATGCTCGAGAGATTTAGGGAGCACGCGAGCGTGTGTGTGTGTGTGTGCACGCGCACGTGTGTACCGACGTGTACGTCGGGTCAGTAGGTCACTCAGCCCGGTGCTAAAGGAAAAAAAAAGCATTCGTGCGCGCCGATACACATAAAACATCGGCAAACGATCGCGCGAGCCTGTTCTATCGATTCTTGGACCGATCGATCGTCGCCTCGCACGCCAATTAATTAGTAGAATTTCACCGTTGGTCAGCGAAGACCTGCCGAGAATCGGAAACGGAAGGTTTCGCGCGCGCGCTCGCGAAAGCGTCGCTCCGTTTGTCCGCGAACGAACGGACCTCCGCACTGCGGAGAACAATCGAGGAAATGGAGGAAACGTTCGCGCCGCGGTAATTAAGATGAGACCCGTCGATGCGCCGGTTCGAGACACGTGACAATAAATCCAGGACAAGAAATCCGACGCGACGGCGACGCGGGACCAGACGAGACGAGACGAGACGGGACGACGGCACGGACTGCAAGCTCTCAACCTTAATGAATCTTTGCTCGTCGACGAATGGAGCAGCTCTCCCGGAAACGGCTCCTTGTCCACCTGAAACGTTGTCGCCAACGAACGGCCCGTTCGAACGGCTAAAGGCTGCGAAAATCGCTGCCAAAATCATTACGCCGTGCAACTTTTTATTCGACCATTGTAAAATAAGAAATCGGTAATTTTTAGTGAACAATTGAAATCAGAAGGCAGACTCACCAGGCTTGTTGTCGGCTCCGGAGGTGACGCTCTGGCAGGACGAGCAGCAGATCGCTCCCGCCAGGATGAGGCATCGGTAGAGAGCAGGGACCGATTTCCTGCTGGTCATCTGGAACAGGGAGAAGAGAAGCTGAGATCGATTTCGACGGTTTAGGGGTGGGTTCCCGAAAACGGTTTGCACGCGAAAAACGCGTCGCCGCGGGCCCGTGTCCGAGTTAATAATTCGAGAGAGAGAGAGAGAGAGAGAGAGAGAGAGAGAGAGAGAGAGAGAGGTCGCGCGACCTATTCGAACCGAGCCGCGCGAATCGTGTTCCCACGATCGGGACATCCGCAGCGGTGCGCATCCTCTCTCGGGGTCCACGAGAGGTCCACGAGAAACCGTTTCGTTGGTCGGCGATACACCTTTCATCGGCGCGGCGCGGCGTTCGAGATACAGCCGATAACGAGAGGAACAAGCTTCTCAATGAACCGAGAAAGTGGGAGGAGTACACGCCGAAAAAATTGCTATGCCCGAGCTCTCGAGACTTCTATGGTCGAGGCACGACTACTCTCGGTCCTTTGCTCGTAGATCACCGATTACAAATTTCGTGGTGGAACCCATTCGCTCGTCGCGGCCGTAAAAATTTGCTCGGGACCGATTAGAGATTAGAACCGCGCGCGATTATTTCGCTGGCACGAAATACTGGCGACTGTGTTCGTTCGGATACGGACAATACTTTCACCCGGGACACGCGCGAATCGCCGTTCGCGAAGATCGCGCCGCACCGGTAACCGGTCGTTTCCGACGAGCATTGTTTCGCCGATTATGAGAAACGATAGCGTGTCATTTCCTCGCGATCGTTGCCTCGCAATTTCGATCGGGAATCGATACACGTTGCACTCCGCTCGCGGCCCAAAGCGTTCCTTTTGTCTCGAATCTTGCTACGATCTTACGTAGCCGATCGTTTGAAACGATTGAATCGCAATTGTTTCTAATCGCGTGCAATGCGAATAGGTTCGCCGAGGAATTTCCTCGCGAAAATCGGCTGGAATTTCCGGCGATCGGGCGACAGGGAAGTCGCGGGACGAGACGAGACAGGCTTACCGGTTTGCGAGCGGGTACCCTTTGATGTCGACGTCTGCGCCCGGACAACAGGCGCTTCCATTGAATTTCGAAAGTGGTCCTGGTCCTGGCCGGTGTGCGCGCGGCGCGGCGTCTCGCGCGAATCTCGGATCGATCGGCGGATCGATCGTCGCCTGGGAAATTTTGTCGAGACGTATCTCGTACACGCGGCGGTTCCGAGGCTCAAGGTCGAATCTCGTCGGATCTAGAGGCTCTGCCTCCACGGAGGCGGCATTCTTTGCCCGCTCCTCCATGCGGCCCACGTTCTTTCTTTGGGAATCTTACGAGGAGAGAGAGAGAGAGAGAGAGAAGGAGGCGACGAGGGAGGGAGAGATCGGCGCCCGAAGCATCGTCTACCGTTACCACGTGTCCGTCTCTCGATACGCCGCGCCGCCTCGTACCCACGTGCAAATACGAGTACGATGGAAACCGTACTTCCAGCAAACTTTCCGACCTCCGTGTGAAAGAACATCCCTCCGAGCGACCCGATTTTTCTGCGATTTTTCGGCGATCGTCTGCGCTTTCCGCGAGTCGGTGTTCCCCACGCGATCTTTCGAAAACGGAGCACTGTTAGGAAAACGTTCGCCGATTTCGAGATCGTTACAAGCTAATCGACTACATCTGAATCAGTTCAATGGGACAAGTTTGATAATTCCTTCAAGTTTTCCTTAACATCTCGCATCTGTTGCCCGATCTGTGAGATCATCGATAAGATTAGTTAGTCGATAAGAAATCGATGATCGTCTGTTTCTCGATGTTTCCCCTGGGAATCGTGCGAGTACAACTTTGAAAAACCGTTCGATTAATTTGTATCATCGACTAGGACATATTTGGCGACAATAGAAACAGATCCTATCGATTTGTATGGTCGATTACTCGCGATGTAGTTTCGTCTCGGATCGTGCGACTGGAATAAAACGTTCGATCGTTTCGGACCGATCGATCGGTGCCGAGCAAAGTTGCATCGGAGCGTTACGCCTGTCTGCTCGGCTATTAACCTCGATAATCTGTGATCTTCGTCGTCGATCGACACCGGTAGGGACCACTTTCGTTCGGATACGCGTCGATTTTGTTTCCCGGAAAGCCGTGGCATAAGAGGACGCTAACATCGATCATTAATTCCTGCGAGCGTAGTTCGGATATCTCGTGCGGCTCGCGTTTACACAGGTTTATACACAGGTTTACACGGGTTTACACGATCGCACACGGTCACACCGACGCGCGCCTTCAAAGATTTCGCGCCTGTTTACACGGACTTCGGTGATCGCGCGCGCGCGATAGCCTTGTGTGGTCCGCAAGAGAGAGATAAAGTGAAACCATGGGGCCACGCTGTCTCGGGATCCAACCTCGATCTCAGGGCCGTTCGCGGAGCGCGTTTCTTCCCGTTCCGGTTTTCGTCCTGCCCTCCTGCCTTCCCTCCTACGAAAGATCCCCCGGATCGGCTGCGTTGCGAACGCGATACCGATCCCTCTCGATCCGTCCCGATCCGTCTCGATCCGTCTCGATCCTCGCCGGTCCTCGTCCTCGATCCTCTCGCCGGCTCACGGTGCGTGTCCGCTTCGATCGCGCAACCCTCTTCCGTCCCTTACTTATTCAGCTTAATCACTTTCTCGATTCAACGATTTCTCGACTTGTCGAGTCTCGATGTATAACGCTTTAAGTGCCGAAAATTCTCATCGTTTAATCAATGGGACCCATGAAACAAGATTTTTCATTTTTGCGTTCGAAAATGTGTTACAGTAAAAAATGAATTTTCGAAACTAGCGGGACTCATCGTGTTATAAGGGTTAAAAGGGCGCGAGCGACGCGGTCCGACGGCAAATTGATCGATTTCCATGACTCTGCGAGGTCGAATAGATCCCGAGGAGGACCGGGAGGTGTTCGATCGTAAGGAGAAACCTTTAACGAGAAGACAAATAAGAGCGGATCCGAGGAGCCGAGCGAAGCGGTGGCCCCGAAACGAAACCGGCCTATATTAGCTAAGAAGGCGTATTACGTATGCAGGCCGTTGGGTCTCGCTACCGCTCCTCTTTTCGCGTGCGATGAAATTTTCATCGTGTCCGGGGCCTTACGGGATAATACGCGCATGCGAAACCGTACCGATACGCAGTCCCACGAATCCTGGTGGACGGGGTTCCGCGCGGACCCATCCCGCCGTCTCGCCGCGCCGCGCCGTCTCAGTGACCGTCTGGGGCCCGAGCGAGGCCCGACAGAGGCCCGACAGAGGCCCGACTCTCGGCTCTCGGTCTCTCGGCTCTCGGACCTGGCCCCGGCGCGGCGTAACGCGAGCAATAAAAACGCCGCAAAAGCGAGAAAAAGTAGTCGGTCGGCCACAGGGGCCAGAGGACCCGCAGGGCCCACAGGCCGCGGCGGAGCTCCGGGGCCCGTCGAGACGTCCACGGAGATAAGACCGACAGTTCGATCCGAGAAATCGATTCTCGGCTTGTCATTGCTCAACGTAACACCGATCGCGCCTTGTAACCGCGCCAACAGAAAAATAACGATCGATTTAATGCCCGGACATTCGCTCGAGGCACGACGGGACCCACCATCCGATCGGGATTCGATCGGCATTCGATCGGATCGCGTCCAAAGCGGCTTGCTTCGTTTCACAACCACTTCTCGGCCACCTGCCCTCGTTCGCGTCCGCGTCCCCTCGTACTTTTAAACAAATTTCCAACGATTATGCAACTCACTCCTCGGACGGATCATCCTCGTTCGGATTCCAAGCGGTTATCGAAACGATACCGTTCATTTCTGTCCTGCGAATCGCGGCAACACAAAGGTCCAGAGGCGGAATATCGCTGGCAGTTGTATCGTTATCCTCGAGACGATTCTGTAGAGCTATCGATACTCCGAAGATTGTTCTTCGAAGGATTCCTATCCGTTGGACGAATCGAGGAAGATTACTCACTGGACGGTTCCCTAAATGTCTCGGTTATTCGCTAGACGGTTCTGGAGAAGTATCGCGTCTGTTTTAAACGGTTCTCTGATAGTTCTGCACGGTTCTGTTGGAACCATTTCGTTCGATCTCCCCGCGAATACGCGAGAAACGAATAACAACGCGCGGCACGGTATTCCGTGATAAATGAAGCATTCTAATCTCGATGGGAACGAAATCTGGGGAGATTTGCTACGAAATGCTAACGAACGGTGGCCTAAACGATGGCGCGCCATCGAAACGACAAAACCGCGTGACGATTTCGTACGGTTCGCAAAGATTTCCTGCACTTCTGTCGGAATCGTGTCCCGAATAGGGGTCACGCGATTTACATGTGTTCGCTGCTCGCATCGATGAGAATTTCTCCGGTTCTTTTCTAGGTGGTCTTCCAACTCTGACCGGAGAAATGACGAAAGTTATGGGCTCCCGTGAGCGGCATCAATCCCATCAAATAAATTACACGCAAACCGGAAAGTGATACGCGCTAGGAAGATGCCGTGGAGCAAACACCGTTCGATGATCGGATCATCATCATCCTCCTTCGTCTTTCTCGTCTTCTTCTTCTTCTGGCGTACTCGCGAGATCGCGCACTTGCATTTTCCTTCTTTCGATTAGGCTACTCGACCATTTTACTCCGGTAATAACGAAACCGCGCGGATTATCGCACCCCCGATCCGATGGAATTCATCGAAACTTTAGGCGCTAATCGTTCGATACCGATCGCTGTCGATCGTATCGATTAAAACTCGAATCCTTCGCCCTTCGAGACACCGAAAAAAATTCTCCTCGGAACACGTCGCGCGTCGATCGTATCGAGATAAGGGTAGATCGTTGTCGCGGTCGACACCGTGAAAAATCGGGCGATTCGTCGGATGACCTCTTGACCGGACATCTACCGATTCCGGCGAAGCGTGGGCAGCCCTCGAGCCTGCGGCGTGGATATCGCGTGTCCTCGATAATTGCTTAGCAGTTACGTACTCGCTAATTGCGCTGTCAAAGGGCGAAATTGCAGAAAACGGACACGTTCCCATAGAGATCGTGGAAGTCGAGTGAAAACGTCGAGCGTGTCTTCGGGAGGATGCGCTCGCGAGACCCACATCTCCGTTTCTCATCGGACAACAGAATTCCCTCAGCTGCATCGAACACAGAAATACGCTGACATCGCGATCTACGCACAGAGATGGTCGATTGTCGGACGATCTACACGCTTTTCGACTGAAATTACTCCTTGCTTTAAAACGATGGAATTAGGGAAAGGAACTTGTACGTGGTTTCTAGCCGATGCAGATTCAGAGAGGACCCCTCGTTATCGCTCCAGGATTATTCCAGGATCTGTTTGGGTTCGTTGGAATACTGGTGGGCGATAAAGGAAAGCAAACAGGATACTGCCACCGCGGATGATAGGAATCCTAGATTATCTCTAGATCCCTCGTGGCTCGTGTCCTCGATGGTCCCATGAAACCGTCGGAAGATCGCGAACTATTGTTGAAGAGGAACACGTGCAGGCCCGATCGTTTCGCGCGAGAACAAATAAAAGAGGAAAGGAACGCGGGTGCAACAACGGGACAAGACTGTCGTCCTCCCTCCCCGCCGAACTTCCCTTAGGATTTATGATTGCTGCGCGGTGCAAAGGGACGGGACCGTGCTCGTTTCCTGGTTGTAAAGGGAGATATATGAATCTTAGGGGATACCGTACATCCAGCTGGAAACCGCCAGAATGCACACACACACACAGACGCGCGCGTGAGCATACTGCTAAAACTATCTCTGCCAAAGATCAACGGATCTTTTCCAGATGGTTTGCCGAGCCTAACCCCTTTCGTTCGTTCATTCGCGCGGCTATCAATTATTATTTGCGATTCTATCGCTTGATTTAGCTAATTTCTGATTACCAGTACGTCGAAGACCCATGTTATTAATCTCGTTCATCGCTTATTTATTTTATTGTTCCTGACGGAAAGTGAACAACCCTTTGCGGCTGATATTCGAAGGAAAAGGATATCGAACGACTAATTGCACCGGCTGCAATTCGCGCAGCGATCGATCCATCGAAATATCGCAAGACACTCGAACGGCGCGGTCATCGAAGCCGTGACGTAACGCGAACAAAACAGCAATATCCTGAATTGCAACGGTGCACCGCGGCCCCCTCCGCCGAATGCGTTTTCTGCAGCGGGATACGAGTGCTATATCCTGAGGAAAAAAGCGATTACGCGAAAGAAAATGCAATATTTCGGGAATTGTGCTGTTCCAGCGGGATGCGCTGTTCCACGGAGAGGTGGTAGATTGATCGATCGCGACTCGCGACGGGATCGGCAGACGATGTCGGCGGTCCCGGGAGGAAGAAGAACAGAGGTTTTGCGGGCGGAGGAACCGGACAGAGAGACGAGAGTTTGGCACTCTTCCTGAATGCCGATGAAACAGATGCAATTTCGCGTGCGGGCGGAGAGTCGGTCGAATTGGATGCGAGGGGGGTTACTGCGGTGCACGAGCAGAAAAAGACGAGCGACCTAGTTCAAACTGTTTCTATACATGTTAGCCGGAAACGTCGTTTAGGTTGATCCCCCGTGAAAGAGTCGATCCTCGGCGAAACCCGATGCCGTCCGACTCGGAACTTGAACGAGGACTTTCCCGACGCGACTACTAATTCCTTTAATTAAACATCCGCGAACGTTCCACGCCGCGCTTCGCCTGGACAGAAGTCGTTATTGCGACACGGGTCTTTTCTGCTGCAAGCTGTGCGGAAGAAGGAACCTCTTGGACTGGCAACAGCGAATTTCTCCTCCCGGTTTTTGGGAAATGCATCATGAATAGCGACGTTTGCATAAGAATCCGCAGTTTTACGAGGCAACCATAAAGAACCGCTTGCTCTAAAGTCTCTAGCGGCGATGCATTTTTACTGTATTCCCGCCGGCACGGTGGGTAATATTCCATTGTTTTACGACGGAAACGTGGTTTTCGGTGGACGATCGGACGTTAACGGTACAGTTTGCAAATCATCGGAGGTTCTATCTTACGGCATCGTGCAGATTCGAAATGCTCCATGGTTTCGTTTCGTTTCGTTCGTTTCGATCGGGCCCCAACCCTTCGATCCGAGAAAACTGTACACGTTCCGCGTATATGGGTCGCAGAGGTTCCAAACAAAAACTTGAAAGCTCTGCGAACGAAGTGAACACAACTGCAGTTGTACGAAACCAGTGCAACCTAGTCGAATGCTGAGGGAAAACTGGTTGGTCGCCGTTGCTGCCAAAAGAGCCCTTGTCTTTCTCGGCGTTCATCGAGAAAACGTTCGTTCTCTTTGGACAGTGAACGTGCTAGATCGGAGCAGGATGACGAAGAAGAAACTTTTACGCTTGCTTTCACTGACAGTGCGCAGATCTCGGTTCTCTACACCCTCGTGTACCAGTCTGCCGATCGTAAGTTTCGCGGATGTGTTCCAACGCGCGTTGCAATCGACTCTGTTGATTACTATGAACGGTATCGCGAAAGCACTCACCGTGGCCATGGCGATTTCTCCGTTGGCAGATCGGTCTCCTCGAACGAAGGTAGATTGTCGGATCTAGACGGCGGGTGTCGGCGAATTTTCCTCCAGGTGCATAGCTTCCTCTGTTTCAGTTCGGTCCGGTCCGTTTGCTGTTCGATCGTTCGCCAGTCGGGCCGCGATTACAGCGAGGCCGCGTCCCGCAGAACTACGATCGCGATGCGTTTATCCGATCGATGAAATCCGCTCGAAAAACTCCGGCGAGAAAATCGAGGGTCCCTCCAGAAGGTGTCTGCAAGGCGAAAGCTCCGGTTCACTCGGAGCACAGTGGAGAACTGAGCGAAGTGCCGGCCGGCCGAGCAGCCAGGCGGGCTTTTCCAACCGGCTTAACCAATCGCGACTTCTCTCTTGCCCCACGTGCCTCTCTCTCTCTCTCTCGCTCTCTCTCTCTCTTTCTCGTTCTCTTTCTTTCGCTCTCTCTTCCTCTCTCTATCCTTCTCTCGCCGCAGCTCTCGCTCCTCTCCGTCGCGATCTCGCGGTCCTGCGAAAGCCTTTGCCGAATGAATCTCGCAACCCCTTCTCCCGGCGAACAACCCTCCACGATCTTGTTCGCAAGATTGGTGCTTCGATGCTTGACGATCGATTGCCTCTTATGATGCGAGGCGAAGGTGTCGCGAAGGTGCAACGATGGTTAGAAGTGAAACCGCCGGGATAAAGCATGTCCCCCGTTGATAAATCGCGGGCCTCTGAAAAGTTGCGCGTTTTTAGAAGATTCGTGTGCAGAAATGATCAAAGGAGCTGCTGCAATTGCAGAAGTGCAACTGCAGGGGATAAAAGCGAGAGGCGAATGGACCCAGAGAAATTGGAAGCGAGGGGAGAAATAATTGTCCCGGTGGCACGCGGTTCCCGCGCGGAAAATCCATCGGCAAAGTTTGTTTATCGGCGCGAAAGTTTCAATGAAAAATGTCTGGGTTTTCATTATTTGTCGCGGGTATCGCAGTTCAGTCCAGTTTCCCGAAGACAAACGTATTGCCGCGAGGCTGCCAGCAATAACATCCACGAAGTTGTTTGCCGGCCCAGTTGTCGAGCGATAGAATTCGCTCGGTTTTGATACGGCACGAAGAGGAGGAAGAGGGAAGAAGGAAGGAAGAAGCACCGATCGATCGCGTCCATCGGGAAGGAAAAGAAAGAGCAGCCGGGTGCCGCGTATGATCTCGGTTAAGGAAGAGAGAAAGACGAGAGAGAAAGAGAGAGAGAGAGAGAGAGAGAGAGAAAAGAGAGAGAAAGAGGGCCGAAAAAGGAGAAAGGAAGGATGCAAAGCGTTATCGAGAAACGAGCGCTTAACGGGCGTTTATTCTCGCGAGGATTCTTCGAAGATGTGCCACATTGACAAATACGCGCATCGGAGGCCGAGGCAGAGGCAACGTAGCCTCGTTCGCCGTTAATGGACAAGATGTGTTTCCGAATCTAAACTTACAATTAGTAGGCGGTCGAAATCGAGAGGGAGTTCGGCGATCGTGTCGATATTATAATCGAAAAAGAAGAAACGCACGGCCGGGCCACGTCTCTGCATAGCGTACGCCGTACACAGTGCGCTGACATCGAACAAAACGTGATCGAGGCCTTACTTTCGAAGCAGCCTGCAGAGCATTCGATCGGTGTGCTCCAGTCGCTTTCCTAACGACCAGACATGCTTTTACCGACGATCATACTTTTCTGTAAGCGTGACGAGGCGTCTTCATCGACGCATTATCGCCGAATACGCGCGCAAACGTATCCCGCGAGCGCCGACCAATTCGTATCCGAATCATTTCCCTCCGGACTACTGTTGTCCGACAAATTCGTGCCGCGAAGAATCGACGGTAATTCGTTTGTCCAGTATCTGCTTAACTTTCCCTTGTCCGGGTGCTAAACGAAACATCCGTGCTCCTCGCTCGACGCTAAACGACTTCGCCAATAGAAGAAGAGCAAACGTGATTTACGCGAGAGATCGCCCGATAGGACAGGGCTCGGAACAGATGGCGGAGAAGAATTCTTGCTTTTCGAATCACGAATCACGATCCTCGTTCCTGACCTCGGATTCTTGCGTGAAAGCGAACAATAAAGGCTACTGCCAACCGGAAATATAAAGCGCACGCAGCGTACGCATATCAATTTTACTTTCACGCGGTCGCGAATCGGATCGTTCCAGTGCCATCGTTCCGATGGAATCGCATTTGTCTTCGGGACATATCAAACGGTCGCACCACGAACATCGGAACGATCTACCGTGTAAATACTATCGGAGATAGAAAGTTCGAAAGAAAGAAATCGTATCGCTTGCTTCTGTGATCAGCGGACACATGATACCATCGACTCCGATTTCGTACATTAGATTTGCAAACTGAGTCAGTAAAACGACGGCGATCCCATGGGGCACCATCATAAATCCAAAGAATCCTTGCTACCACTGTAATAGATCATAATAGATCATCATCCGAAAGACACTGTATCGTTGAAAAATCGTGAGACTTTATATACGGAAATACGACAGCCATAGTTACTCTATGAAACACCTTACAGACTGAAATCCTATGAACGCATTTTCAAGCGTCGCCTTCTGGTCGAAGATAATACCGTGAAACGTGGATGACGCCCTAGGGTTTGGGGGGCCGATGAGAGCCGAGTTGGTTTACCGGTTCGAAAGTAATCATTTGTTTCCCGTGGCAAGGGAATAGCGAAGCCCCGTGAACATTGACACCGAATCGTCTTTGAGAGAATTCTCTCCTCTTCGGTACACTAACGACGTAATGAGAGAAACCGGTTTCGAATTTTGCAGCTAGTAACCGGAGGATCAGCGTAATTAACCCGCGCGAAGTCTAAAACACTCGGACTACGGTTCCGCGAATTCCGCGAAGAAGAGGCAACCGCGGTGGGATCGGGATCGAAGAGAAAATCCATGTATCGGTAGATCGAGAGGATCATCGGAGAATCATCGGAGAATCATCGGCAGGTTTTAATGTGTTCGGCCACACCTTCGTTAGATTCTTCGAGGTGCTCGCTGCACTTTCACCGTTCATTTGTTTTCCAAAAACGTACGGCCGACGCTCGACGACACACTTTTTACGGAGGCCTAATTTGCCGAACGATGATACTTGCTAAATACATACTTTTACGAAGCTCGGGTGAATCGCGTTTCCTTCTTCGCGATCGGGTTTCGAATCGGCTTCGATCCAATTCGAAGCTCGATTAAAGCTCGACGAAGCGATCGAATCAATGATCTCTGTAGAATCGCCTTTCACCGGATTCGTTGATCTCGACAAGTGCGATCTTGTAACGGTGATCGAAGGTCAATCGATCCACGATCGATCCTGATCGAGGCGAATTCACGAAATCTATTAATCGATACGGCGTTCTTATTGTATCATCGACGGAAGTTAATGGATAAGGATAGATTGGTTCGACGATGCCCTCGAATTGCAATAAGTATCAGACAATTTATTGACGTATCGGTATAATATTATTAAGTACATAGAAACGAACCTATCATCTGTATATTTTCGAAAATAATTTGCATTATCGTAGGATACTTTCAGTCGATTAGCGCTAAAAGAATCTATTATGTACAACATCGGAGCACCGCTCTCTTTAAAAATATAAGATATCACCGGCTACGTGTTTAACATACCGTCGATATGGATCTCTTAATTAGTTTGTCTTGAATAAATAAATCGGTAGATGCGTAAGTACACGTAAAGATCATATAAATAAATAATCCTAAACGACGAGGTCGAAAACAGAATCGAAAGGTACCTAAAATCACTGGTTGTGCGTTGGTGATAACTGATAGTCACCGTTATTGGTCGTCAGAAATCGATGGAAGGTAGTCGACGATATTTAAACTCTTGCATTCTGTAGGCCCATCTTTCAATCAATTAATCCTACGACCATCCTCCCGTGGCACAATAATACCACGTCTGTCCCCGATATTATGAGTACCTGCGTAAAAGCTAGAAACAGTCAAGGCGACGAGACATCGAGTAAATTAAGTACTTTGAGACAATTATTTCAAAGTGTGTAAATAGTGGAGGGAGACAGCCAAGATAGGTTAAATCGGAGATAATGCTTGAACTAAATGTTTCCACTGTTAACAGTCTTCTGTATGTGCCACGTTTATAGCCCAGGTACTAGAGTCGCATTATAAGCTGGACGCCTCGAGATCAGGTATATTGACGAGTCCGCCGTATCTCCAATAGTAAGACGGGGGTCCGGCTGTGAAACAATATTTCATGTCCAACGGCTCGCCGTTCTCCACATAGTACATTAAATAGAAATTGCACATCTCATCGGCCTTCGTCGAGCCTATGTACGTCCAACTGCGACGTGGGCTTTCCATTGTGCAGCGAGCTGCTATTTGATCGCCTTGTCTAGCCGAGACATTGTTGTGTATGGGATAAAACATTTGAGGAGTCAGAGGGTCCCTTTTCCCTAGCTCTGTCCATGTGTAGTCCGGTGTCACTAGATACCCAGAAACTACTTTCCCAAGGGAATGCGTGTGCGTTCTGTATGCAATGGGGTGTATGGTTTTATTTTCCTTTATCGTGCAGGCTGTTTCCATATACGTTGTGCTCTTGGGGGGTACTGCACCCGCGGTTCCCAGTAGAAGTACACCGGCTAGTTTATTCAATGGACGCGAGGTGTATTGAAGAAACACGCCCGAGTCGTCTGTTCTACCATCCTTGAAGTGGTCGATGTGAGAGTAATGAACCTGTAGAACCAAGTACTTAATGGGAGAATCCCTGCCAACTTTGAAGCCCACTCCATCCGGTAAAATTAATTTTGGAGCATCTCTTGCCCAGGCGTATATTATCTGTGCAAAACGTGGAGAGTTAACGAATTGAATAACTTTAATAAAATTAATAATTATGTACCTGGGACTGTTCTGCACAGGGTGACATTGCCTCTTCGTTATCGCCGATACGGTGTTCCATTTCCCCACAATTCCATACAAATTTTGAGCTGCCTGGTTTACCACAACCGTATAAAAGTATGTGGTGAGCAGTTTCCATTGTTGCATTTGGTTCAAAACCTATTACATAGTAACTTTGGGAAGGATCAATTTTAATAGGTGTGCATAGATACAGTTCAGCCTGTGAATTACAAAACGTTTGTGATAATCATAGCATTCTGTATTTATCAAACAGTAGCAATATATAATATTGTTTAACATTAGAATATTTTGCACACATGTTGTTTAATACTTACCCTATTCGGGGTAACATTTGGCATAAGTAACGCGTACTTTTCTACATCATTACACTCCGTAAAATGAAATAACACCGCGAATAAAACGAAAGTGACGAATACACATTTCTCATTCATTTCTCCATTGAGTTTCACAAGCATTTTACGAGTGTCAATCGAAATTCACGTGAAACTGTCAAATGTTACGGGTCGATATGCCATACTCCCACGTATATATACTGACGTAGCGATAGGACTGTGGCGACCTCATATTAATTAACCTTGATATTGTCTTGCATCGATCGTCAGTGCCATATCGTTGTAATATTTACAAAGACAAAAAATCAAAATGTTTATTTGCCAGTATCAAGCAAAAATTGACCAAATTTACATATATTTACATACATTTCCAACCTTTGCAACCGTATGTAAACAAACATTATCACCATCTAGCGGTAGCCATTTTGTACTAAAACGCAATCCCTTGCAATATGCAACCAGGTGTTACATGATAAAAAACTTTTTAGTACATTATGTATTCCCAACGTAATTTCTTTATTTTATCACATCAAAAACTTTAGATATCATTGAAGGAAATATTTAGATAATTCTCACAAAAATGTATATTAACAAGAAAAATGTGGCTAACATGTTTACTGGACGGATCTGTTACAAATATTAATTGCGCGCGGTTCATTCCTATAAGGCAATCTAAAATTTAAGTACATCGCTGTATGTCAATAAATATAAAATATGTAGATTGTTCTTGCGATATTATGTTTATCTCTTGTTAATGTATATGTCACGGATTTGATCTGTAAGCCACTCTATGCCAGGTTGTAAACCTTCACCAGTGATCGCATTTGTTGCTCGTATATGCCAGGGTTTATTTTGTATACGATCAAGGCCAAGGCCAGCAACAAGTTTAACAGTAGTCAAAGAATCAGGCAAATCCATTTTATTTGCCAAGAAAAGAATCGGTATTTTGCGACCTACAATTTTGCGGTGTACATTTTATTTTTCGATACGTTCCTCACTGTAAAAAAAGAATACGAGAGTCTTGTACCTGCTACGTCTGGATGTTGAAGAAGCATATCTAATTCTTCTTTGACCACAACCAATCGTAACTTATCGCTGCTATCAATTATAAAAATAATACCATGACAGTCCTTGTAATAATGTTCCCATAAGGCTCTATGACGATCATGACCCGACATGTCGAATGCCGTAAAAATGACATTTTTGACTGGAAAAGAACATATTGTATCTTTATGCAATAATATTGAGCGAATAAAGTTTACAAAACTACTTTTTCCATAGCTTCTGAGCGAGGAAATGAGAATCACTGATCGCGTCACGTTACAGTGTCACAGTGTCACAGCTTGGCGGGACATATGTACATGAAAATAGGGTTATTAAAGTAATTGATAAATTAACTTGTTATGGAGGTAAAAAAGAATAAAGAACATGACAAAATTAACATGTCTGAAGAACGTTTAAAAGAAAGTCAAGGTGAAATATTATATATATGTCGATTAAAAATTTAATCGTGAACTTTCTATGGAAATATCTTAATATTATTGTTTACTTGATTTCAGATTTGCTGCAGGAAGAGAAGAATAAATTAAAAAAGCAAATTAAAGCGTTGCAGGCTATAAATTTTGAATTGGAATGCAACTTAGACCTCTATTCATTTAAAGATGTTAAATTTGAGCCTGATGTAAATACTCTCGACATAATTGTGGATCCTTCAAAAATTCCGAATACCAATGTACAATTGGAGTCGGAATTATTTCGATTTGGTGGCTTAAGTTGTCTTCAGATTTCCACAAAAGACTGTATATTTAATTTATCTTCGTTCAACGAATACGACAAACAACAAATTTTTGCTGTACAAATAATCTATGGTGATAATAAATGGACTTTAGGAAAATGGCATATGCCATTCGATTTAGATGATATAGTACATAGGTTTTCTAGTAATATAAAAGATGTACCTAGCTTTGTCAGATCTTGTAAACATTATCTAGACTGTTATTTTATTCGGCGTGAAGAGTTTAATGCGTTGAAGGTATATATTTGTTTCTAATGTAGCTGGTGTTTAAAATCAAGTGAAAAGTCTAACAATGTTTAATATTTACAGGAAACTGTATCTGATATAAAGAATATTAATTTGCACAAAAATATTGGATATACTCACATTGTGTTAAATTTGATGAGTGTATATAATGTCGAATATGATTCACACATGAATATAACTATATATATGCACTATGATTTTAATGAAGTCAGGCCACATAAAGTCGATATTGAGTCAGAAAATGAACAGACATTAAATAAAGAAGAGAAAGTAAAATTCAAAACATTTCAAAAGTGGTTAAAATTATTAGATCTCAAAACAGCTTTTGAACGAATGTTGAATGATAAACTATTGACATGGTCAAAGGAAGTTATTGGAGATAGTCCACTACAAACTTATGTATGTTAAGGATATTGTTTCATTGTAAAGAATACATTGTTATTAAAATATATATTTCTTTTCAGGATTCAGATGGCTCTGGTGGAGGAGGCTTTCTAAAAACAGTCTTATCTAAAAATAAACAGTCCAATATCCCTCAAAGAGAGCAGAAGAGAAAAAGAAAGAATGACTTACTAATTTCAAAAGACGTTAAGAAAAACAAGGAATCTAACGTTTTTGAGAAAAAGAAGAAAAATATACAGAAACCTAATCAACATTCCATAAATCCAACTAAGAATAATGAGATTGTAATATCTACAATTCCTGAACATAAATTACAACATAAGAAATTAAAACAGGCCAAATTAAATTTTCAATTAAATAAACATTCACCTTTGAAGCCTAGTACATCTAAAAATCTGGTAACTCCTGAGAGCAGTATAATGAACGAAGACATAGATAAAGTGATTACTAGTACCCCAATGCATCAAAATGGTTCCATACGTATGGAAACAGATAGTCTTGACAATATTAGTGCTATCAGTAATAAACAAGAAATTGAGATTAATAAAAAAAGAAAAAGACATGAGTAAAGATAGTAAATGTAAGTGTACCATGATGATTGAAATAACTAAAAATATATTGTTTTCTATGCAACCAATGTATGTATGTATCTATTTTGTTTTCATAAAATTGCATTTATGTCTTAATATACTTGTTTCATTTCCTTATAAGATAACACGTGGTGCTTGAACTGATCAGTACAACAACGCAAGTGCAAGTAACAATATTGTTTTAAGCACGGTAATCGAACATCGAACAACATCGTTCACTCGCCATTGTTTAACTTACATGAAAATTTTTCAACATTATACCCAACAGTGGGCACTATGTCTATGCAACGGTCATCCTCGCGTTTGAAATTATTTATGACCGTCGACTTACCACTGTTGTTAAGGCCCACTACTAAAACGTTTACTTCTTTTTTCCTAATTCCTAAAAGATTCGCTAAACGATCAAAGAGCCCCATTCTCTGTACTCCCTTCAAGTTTTGTTACGTGTTTATCGAACATCAATAGCGAACGCTGTTATCATTGATTATTTGGAGGTAGGAACAGGATAGGGTTGGCAATGAAAACACAATTGTTCAATTTATCTGGATAATATGTAGCTAGGTTATTTATTTCAAATGCTATTCAAAAGAATTATAAATCTCTCAAAATATTATTGTTTTAAATGTTGATATGTATATGCATATATTGTACATGCATACAATGTACATTTTTCAACTTTGTATTTGTAGTAAAGTTGAGAAACGCTGACGGACACATGCTTTCGTACTTCGATTGAGATAGCCTCTAAATGAATACAAAATTCGGCTTATAGAAAACTTAGAATACGAAGTTAATTGTTCTTGTATTACTTTTTTCGTAAGTTTCTCATATTAAATTGAAAATACTAGGAAAATGGTAAGTTGAAATTTTTCATAATATGTTGAAAGGTTAAGTCATGAAATATTAGGTTACTTTCATATTATATGGGATATTTAACAAATTTTTCAGCCGAAAGGTAAAACAAGAAAATTCATTGACAAGAAGAACTCGGTGACATTTCATTTGGTTCATCGATCGCAAAAAGATCCTTTAATTGCCGATGAGAATGCACCTCAACGAGTTCTGTTGCCTGCAGGAAACACACAGGCTGCTAAGTTACAGAAAAGAAACTCAAATGATGCCAAACGCAAGGAGGAGCAAAAAAAATATGGCATATATTTTGACGATGATTACGATTATTTGCAACATCTTAAAGATGTGAATTCATTGCACACAGAATGGGAACGAGTGGATTGTACAAGCACGTCAAACAAAGATGAAAAATCTGACAATAAAGATGCACCAAAAATTAACTTACCTTCTTCTGTGTTTGCATCAAACGTTGAAGAAAAAGTTGGGCTTCTTAACAAAGCTGCTCCTGTTTCTGGGTTACGATTGGATCTGGATCCAGATGTGGTTGCAGCAATGGATGATGATTTTGACTTCAGCGATCCAGAGAACGAGCTGGAAGACAATTTTATAGAATTAGCCAATACTGAATTTAGTGGTGAAGGTGAAGATGAAGAAGAGTATGGTATGTAAATGGACTAGGGTTTGCAAAAACCAATAAATTGTTTTTTATATGTAATATTTAATATACATTCGATCAATATGATTTATATGAAACAGATCAGTCTAATGTATCGTCTGAAGGACGTTTAGCATTATCAGATGAAGAACAAGATGAAGTCTGTAGTTTGAATGGTCCTCAGTATTCTTTTAGAGAAGAAGAAACAAAATCGCGTTTTACAGAATATTCAATGAGTAGTAGTGTTATGAGAAGAAATGAACAATTAACACTTCTAGATGATAAATTTGAAAATGTCAGTATTCAAAATTATAATTATATTTTGTTTGATTTATCGATATCGACATACATTGTATATTTTTCTATTGGCAGATGTATGCAGCGTACGACGAAAACGAAATTGGAGCATTAGACTGTGATGAAATCGAAGGACATATAGCACCGGATTCAGATTTGCTCCTCCAGTGTGCAGCTGAATTTGAGAAGCAACAAAATGTAAATGTAGGTATCTTTACGTTTTTATTTTTAAGTAAAACAACAAAGGATTCTCAATGCCCCTCATCTTTGCAGGCCGAAAATGTTGCAAAATTGATGGAAGATAAAATGAGAATTTTAGAAAAGGACTATTCCAGTTCTGAAGATGGAGATAATCTAGAAGATCTTATTGTTGATGGAAGACAAAAAGTTAAATGGGACTGTGAAAGTATTATTAGCACATACAGTAATATTTATAATCATCCGAAATTAATTTCAGAACCTAAGGTACAGATCGAGGTATTAATTTGATTTTATCTCGTGTAATGTCGCGTAATCATAAATTTTTATGCAGATAGAAAAAATTAAAGTTAACTCGAGAAATGGTATTCCAAAAAATGTATTGGATGCATCTTCTGGAAAGCTAACTGTTAAAGCTTTAGCACAGTTTAATCAACAAAATGAAAACTCTAAAGCAAGAGGGCCTCAATCTGTTGCTGAGACCATGAAATCAACCCTGAGCATATTAAGTATAAGACCTAAAGATGAAACCCCGGAAGATAGGAAAGAAAGAAAGAAGGCCCTCAAGGACTACAGAAGGGTAATGCTTGTTCGTTCATTTTTAGTATTCAACATAAATAATTAATGAAATCATTCATGATTTGTTGTAGGAGAGAAGGATAGAACGAAAAGCAAACTCCGAGGCTTTCAAGGAAGAAAAGAAACGTCAAGAAAAGATTCTCATGAACAACAAGCAAAATGTACAGGGAAATCGGATACTTTAATATGTAAATTCCCTTATGCATCACTCTCTTTAGTAAATTATGCCTACATTAACTATTATACTATTGAATCTATTAAATATGTGTAATATATCTTTCTAAATGCTTGCGTTTTTAAAAAATGACGTAGATACTTACACAGCCCATGTTCCGTCCTTCACCATCTCCGAAATTCGAATAGGTAGTTCGAGAATCGAAATATCGATAGCGCGAGAAACGATTCGATACAGGGAAAGCCAGAGGAATATGAAATCTATAATAAATATTGAAATGTATAGATACTGGAAATTGTGGAAAGTGTATTTATTTTGTCCTATTAAATGTATGCATATTTTAATATCTTTTTTATCGTGGCTGTTTTTTTTTATAATTGCAGTTGGTGCTCGTGCTAACAACGTGAACTGCATTGCATACGGTGGTACACGTGAGAGCGCAAGGTAGAGCGCCATCACTTAAGGCGGGGCAAATAACGGAAACTCCAAAGTCATATGATCGATTTGTGATTCTTTCGTTCGGAATACAGCTCTGTTCGTTCGTTGCAAAGATGGCCAGCCAGACGCAAGGTATTCAACAGCTTCTGGCTGCCGAGAAAAGAGCCGCGGAGAAAGTTTCAGAAGCAAGAAAACGTGAGTTTCTATTCAGCTATTGGAATTCGTAGTTTATTGGCAAAGTGCACTGCATATAACACTTCACGATGAACTTTTCTATGACCCTGAATTTAACTGGGTGTAACCTTTTAAATGTATCGAAGAAACGATATTTCGACTTGTATGAATTAAGGTAATGCAACTTGATAATGAAACTTGGCGTGTTTTATTTCATTATTTCGTGTGTATCTGTAGGAACGTAGTTGCGCCAGGATAGTATATCGTTAGATGGTATTTCTCGATCAAATTCGACTAACTATTCCTAATTATTAATACGGTAGAATGTAGGCGAGCTTACGTTATAAAAATATGTTATAAAAATATGTGGTTACTCGTAATTTGTGAATTCTACCGCAACAGAGTTATAACTGCAAAGTAATTTTTCATTTAGGTAAAGCACGTCGATTAAAGCAAGCTAAAGAAGAAGCTCAAGATGAGATTGAAAAGTATAGACAAGAACGGGAAAGACAATTCCGTGAATTTGAAGCCAAGGTAAAGTATTTAGAAAGATCAACTAATGATAAAGATCGTGTAAAAAGATGTTATTAAATCACTAAATATTTATTGTGAAGAAAAATATTCTTTAGTGTAACCTAAGAATGTATAATTTTGATATTTAGCACATGGGTTCAAAAGAGGATGTTGCCGCACGCATAGAAGCCGATACAAAAATTAAAATAGAAGAAATGAATCATGCTGTCGGCGTGCATAAAGATATTGTATGTGGTTGCAACATTTATATCTGTCAAATAAGATTGCCCTTAATCGAATGCATTAACACTGTTATTTTTGTTACATAGGTAATGCTTACAATCTTGAAGCTGGTGTACAACATTGAGCCAGAATTGCACAAGAATTACCGTAAAGAAATTTAAGTCGGAGAAAATGCGTTGACGCATATATAAATACCGCATCCTATGCTATGAATGTACATTAAGTACTTTCCTTTATCATATCTTAAAACGTATCTATTGCCGTTATGTTGTACTTTTATCAGAGAAAGCGTATACCTTTTAATCGTAGATGGTGGTACTCAAATTGCTAGAATTTTTCCTGCGGTTGCTACACGACAATAAATGTAATCGTAATTATGCTGAGCTTTTACCACCGTGTTGGAAAGTTTAAGATTTAGAGTAGCTGCATCGCGATAGTAGTATAGAAACGTAATAAAGAGGTCGTCATTGTGATATATCAAGGCCTAGATATATTAGGATGACGTGTAAATGTTAAAACTTAGGGTGGTGGCAAAAATTATACAACGTTAAATGTATGTCGCTAGATGTCATTCCATAATTCTGCTGCATCGAGGACACAAATCGCGATTATAGGATCCCGTACAACCTCTTGAGAATCGCGAACAAGCTCCCAATCCAGCGCGATTTTCGCGACGATGTACAAATACACACACACCGTTTGTTTTGTTTGAAATTTTTAAATGTTGTTACGTTGTATGAAATAATAATACCTCATGTGTATACCCTGTCTCTGCGAGCTGGCAAATCTGTACAGTATTAATGTTCAACAATAAAAATAGCTAAAATCTATTCGAGCATCAATATATAACTCTATCACGAGAATATACAATTGTGCATTCGCAATTTTTAGTTCAAACGGAAATGAATTAAGTTTCGCAATTGCGTAATTCACAATTACGTAAAAGCTTTCGTATCTCTTTAAATGTTCACGGTGGATATTCAAAGTTCGAGCCAATCAGAGGCGGGCAGTATTTCAAGCAATTAACGGTGAAACAAATGTTTAAATATACAGCTATCGGATGCGTGCTCTAATTACAATATGTTCTTACTTTCCAACTGCTCTGTTTTACGATCTGAATTTTCGCGCTCACGACTTTCGCGCCCACGCTTTGTCGCGCATGCGCAAGCCGGTTACGCATTCTGTTGCAGTGTTTCGAATAGTGCACCTTAGCTGGACAAAATTGCTGATTTAAGTAGTAAAAAGAGAGCAAACAGTCATTAATTTATAACTAAATGATGAGGTATAATTTTTTACGTATTTGACTTGCCTTTTTTGTGATTCAGAAACTTTATAACAAGATCAATGCCAAATTTGGCCAAAGTCCGTAACAACGCCACGCTAATAACCTTAAGTGGCGATCAGTTTTTAGCAGTATTTTCAATCAAATATGTATATTTTATCTAGATTGTTAGTAAATCAATAAATAATACTGTAAAACCGCGATATTAACAGAAATTTTCATGAAATTTCGTTTCTCTAACCATTGTTTAGACTTTTAGTCGTCGACCACCATACCGTCATTTTAATCATACAAATTCTCTGTCTTTTCGTTTATTTCATTCAGCTCGACGATTCGAAACGAACGAAAATAGGATGATAGAAAGGGGACATTTGAAATTCGTTCGTAATCAAAATGGCTGTCCATCCCTGCGTTGCGTATTCGAACAGGAGTGGGGTGGGTCGCCATTACGATTGCCCTTGTATTTTTTCGAAACGCAGAAACCACGATGTCACGTATCGTGGACTTCTGCGCCCTATTACTAAATACCGATCGAAACAAAAACATTGGGTGAAGAAACGCAAAAGCAAGTTTTGTCCAGTTTCGGTGACGTTTCGTCACCGCGCAACGCGTAGTTTCCGTTGTAATCTATCGCGATTGGAGTGAGTGTTCGATAGTGGGGAAAATCTTTGACGCCAAAGAGGGGGGGATCAGCTGTGTGAACCCAACCTTTCCTCAGCTGGCTGTACTCGCGAACGCGACGTTCTCTTCGTGTCGTTTCATCGTTTCTCGTCGCGCGCGCGTGTGTTTGTATGCGCGCGTGTGTGTGCGTATAGTCTGTGCGTTGACACAACACCAGCGCCACTCCATAGAGACCGAAAGGTGATTCGATTTCGCGAACTAATCCGGGCAGCGCGGAGCGGTATCAGTACGTGTGCCATTCTGCACCGAGAAATGGAAGCCGAGGAGACGTGTTCGGTTAGCAGGAGCGCGAGCACGTTGCCGATCGACGAGGTCGCGTTCGAGGACGCGCTGACAGCTGTGCACGGGTACGCGTTTTAATTATTCTGGTTATGGTTAAGAACGCACCGGGCGAGACCGGTCGCCGACCAGCCGCGGATCCGGAGAGGAAGAGATCGTCGTAGATAACGCGTGTTTGCCGAGAATTCCGTGTGAACGGTGCGGTTTTCGTTTTCGGTTGCGATTTTATTTTCGGTTCCCCTGTCGCGTCGCGCCTCAACAAGGGTGTGTGTTTGTCGGAACCTCTTTGGATACGATCCCTTTGCAAGATGTGGTGCCTCGTTAGCCAAGCGAACTCTGTGATCCTCGAGGTGCAGGTCGACCCCAAAGCCATCGGCCAGGAGTGTCTCGAAAAGGTGAGTCATTATTATTACTCGTTGTTATTGTTATTGCCGTCTTCGCGACCATATTTTCGTATCTGGTTCCTGCTGCCGACGGATGCGTTCATTCTTTCGCTACGTCGTCGGTGTTTTTATTTTCAGCAAAATACCTAGGTGCTACTACGCAAAATGTTAGTTTCTTAATAGTTGTTTCCGTGTTTGCGTTTCGTATGAATTGACCGCGTCCCGCGGTCACGTCCGTATCGTCGAGGAATGCTATAATTAAAAAGAACGCCATTATGCCGTCGTAGAAATAAACATATTTGTGGAAACGTACTAAACGTCACCATTGTCCGAGCGTCGTGTGGCCATCGGTGGCTCTCGTGTAAACAATAACAAAGCGATCGCTTATCGAGCCGACCGATTATGATCCTTTGTCTCTAAGGAATAATATCTGATAAGAAGATTTGCACAAGTGACGCGAAGCGATCGGCGTCGATAAGTTTCTCACCTGTATGAAAATACATATGCGTTGTGTGTTGCGAAAACCTGTACGGTTTATCTTTGGTCACCGAAATTCGCGAAGCGGACGCGGTGTGAACGATGCCTTAAGGCTAGCTCGTAACTCACGTGCGCAACAGATGCTCCCGAAAACACTCGGTTTGTGCATACACTTGCGGGGACAATTTGAAATTTGAGAACGGTGTCGCGGTTGACAAGGACGCGATCTTATTTGAAATTACCATCCAGACATACCCGCTATTTATTCTACTTTCTAATGCATGCTAATGCGTCTTTGACGCAGTAAGGGAAGGACAAATGTTAATATAAAAGCAATCATTGTTTTGCGCGAGACAAGGTTTTTAGAATAGTCGAGAAAAGTTGCTTTCACGTTATTTGCTGTGACTTGTTGCTGTTTAGCGCGTCTAAGTGCATCTTTGCACTTTTAAACATCAACTTAAAGCCATAAAACTGATTAAAGATAGGTAGACGTTTCAAAATTTTCTTGTTACTTTTAATTTCTATTTTTAGGGAATCCGATATCGTTTCGCAGTTCTTCTTGATGTGCTCAACCATCTGACGACCTGGTCCGGATCTATCGTGAGCCAGAGTGTTCAGAAAATCGCTTGATTACTATAGAAATTACACTAAGAACGGCAGAAATACTAATAGGTTTACAGGAAATCTGTCCAATAATTGAATCGTTGTATGGTCCAGTCTGAATCTTTGGCTAGGTTTACCCAGGTTTCAGGTTTGAAATTGAATTCTATTAGAATGTAGAAATAGCTAAGGCGCAATGAATACTTGAATTTTCTAGTTTCGATTTGATTAATGAAATTCCTTTGATTTTTCAGGTTGATATTAGCGATTACTATTAGTAATAGTTTATTACTACTAATAATAGTTAGGATAATCGCAGAATTCGAGAGTTCGTTAGATGATTTGAGCCTGTGTGACCACTGTACCCGAGGGCTCACCAGTTCGACCATGTTGCAACGAGATCGTTGATTCCGGTAGATCGTTTTGTTCACCGAGAATCGCGTTCCTCGTCGAAAGTTGGATCGAGTAGGAGGGAAGAAAAGACGAGAAATGTGATCGATGAGGTAGCGGCGTGATCGAGGTGATCGTATATTTAATTTATCCCCGACCTGAGATGACCTCACGGCAACCTCGGTGGTCGTTCCACCATCGGCGACGTCTCCGTTCTTCTTCAGGGTTTAACTCTATTTATAGGATAGGCTAGATGCATCGGTCGCGTTGTGTAGTCGCACGTACACAACGTGTAGATGCAGCTTTCGCCACGGTTACGCGAACCAGCTTTGTTCACCTTACCTGCCTCGCCTGCCTTATCTGTTTGACCTGTCTGACCTGCCTGACCTGACCGACCTCGCTGGCTAGCCTGGCCAAGCCGCAGCCGTGCAAAGACCTAATTATCGTTCTTGGTAAAAATATCGCACGCCTCTTCCAGAAATAACGTTCATCTTTTGCAGGTTGCTCGAGCAATCGATAGGGTTGCTCCATCGAAAGTCCGAATTAGTTAGTAGCCATTAGAGAACGACTTTTTACGAAGGTGTAGAGCAGCTTGCGATTGTCCCAGGTGTTAGAAAGGAAAGGGACTTTGTTCGAAGCTAGAAGAGAGTAACTCGTTTGGATATCCATGCATGATAGAAAGAAAAAGTTGTTCCGATATTATTAATTACATCAACTGCCCTGGGATCCAGCTGTGGATATTAGAAGAAAGATATACATAATCGGATTTTATCGGTAGCAGCGATAGTTCACTAAGAGGTGTCGACTAGACAGACCCAGACTATTGTATCGCGACTGATAAAACTATCCACGTTGATTAGAAAAGAATCCGTTTACAAATGCGTAGAAGAAAATCGTGTGGACTGTGTCACATGCGCAGCCAGGCCTAATCTCTGGAACGGAGCTTTCCATAGTCGACCACCCACGGCCGAAGTTTGAACCCATTAAAGTAGCAGATAAAAGATTACATACATGCACAGCGCGAAGGACACCCCGAGCGCGAATACAAACACTACGTGCGTCAATCGAATAATCACGGAACAGAAATAGAAAGTTAGGACGGTCGTAAAGGATTATGGATTAACGAACGCGATAATCGCGTCAGAGCCATCTCGGCTCGCGAGATTTTCGCGTCGGAAGGTAAACCGAGAGCGGGTCTGCGCGATGCCCAGTGCAAACGAGACCCCAGATCCTAGCCGGTCTTCCAACGGCGTGTGTTTACCTCTAATATCAATCCGAGCGGAGCACTCGACGATGATTACGATGCAACCAAGTGGGTCAAAGCCTAACTGGGTCGCAATTTCACTGAGCACCGTATTATTAGATGCTTGGAGTGCGCCTACCGCGACAAAATTGTCCGACGCGATTTTAGTTTGACTATCGCGCGCGCCCATTTTCTCGGGCTCGGGTTCGGGCTCGCTTACGCGAGGTATTCGCATAGAGCCGCGATTACTATCGAGTCCCTGGGAACCGCGCAACAATGCCCCGAGTCTTCCTAATCCCGCTGACAAAACGTGCGCCACCCCGAAAAACCGAGGGTTTTAATTCGAGCCTTCAAAAGGACAGGGCAAAGTCGTCTAACGCGAGACCCAGTTCTTTAAAAGGCCGCAGCTGAACCGTTGATTCGTTTATTCCGAAAAGAGCATTCGAATGATCGACAAACGTATGTTATCTTTTAGTCAAAATATGAAAAAGGTTTGTCTTTAAGCATCGTTGCCAGTAATTATGAAGGTCGTCGTTTTGGAGGCGCATATTCAGAATCGATTCTCTCGAAAAGCCTTTTGCAACGCGAGTCACAGACAGTTCTTGTGTCGGAGCTTTAATTGATTCCACTGGAAATGGGCGGACAAAGGAACTCCACCGCTGAGAGATTCCAGAATTCTACTCGCGATTCTCTCGGGCTCGAAGAGGTTCCTCGTTTTCGGAAAAGGAAGCGCAGTTCTCATTCCGGAAGTTGCACAGGCCTAGGATATATACATATAGGGTCCGTGAATCGCTGACACCGCAGAGTCGCACGATCGCAGGGTTGTATCAACGCCGGGGCTTTTTCGCCGGCGGAATCCCGTGAAAACAATTCCGCGGAATTTCGGGCGGTTCCCCGATGGCAGACAGTTCGGAATTAGGTCGAAAGTGGCAGAGGTTCGAACCCGGAATTCAATTTACGTCGTCTTTGTGTCTCGTAGCGGATCCGATCAGCGCGTAGCTTTCTCTCTCTCTCTCTCTCTCTCTCTCTCTCTCTCTCTCTGTCGTCTCCGGATCTAATTTGTGTTTACCGGCGTGCTCTCCCATCCACCGCGATTATGCGAGTCTTTTCTCCAGGAATTCGTTTCTTGCGCCCAGAGCGTGGGCTCGGGGCGCGAGCGCCGATTCGAATTAATCGAGAGTTACCGAAGGTAATTTCGAAACAAGCGTGAATAGTTGTTTCACCTGGCCGTCGACGCCGCCCCCGCCGCCGCGCCGTTCTCTACAGTCGAAAGTATACAAAGTTTCGGTTGAACTCCGTGCTTAATCGTTTAATTCAACTTTCCGGGAGCGAGGCTTTAAGTTCGAGATAAACTTTCGGGGCCACGATAGGAAGAACTTTCCCGCGGACTGTTTGAATTTCGATGTATCGAGCATTACTCGAGATCGTCTCTCTCTCTCTTGCTCCTTCTATTCGATCGAATCTTCATGGTTATTCGGTTCTTCTCGCCTTTCCTTAATCTGTTCGAGCACCTTTCCTCCGATACACATTTTCATAGTCTAGTAGAGTACTAGGGTCACGCGTGCTTTTATTATTTTATATCCTAGCTAAGAATCACATTCGATAAAAATGCAGATTCTACCATGACTCAAATGTACCAGTTATTACGGCGACGATCATTCTATCATTTAATAATTAAATATATCCTTTCGTTAAGATGGCAAAATTGGATTTGTTAATCGTTTCTTAAGCTGAAACGAACGAGTTTTTTGCTGCTTCGTCCCGGCAAATGTATAAATAACGATTTCGCGAGAGAATGGTTGGGTTGTTCCGCGAGCTACGGCAGTCTGGCGTTAATGCAAAGCCTTTAGGGGTGGCCTCGGCGATCTTTGCCAAGGGAAGGGACGAGAAAGATGGATTTTTCCGTCGCTTCGCCGAGGAAACCGGCGAAAGGAACGGATAGGGGTCGGTGAGACGCGGCGCTTTGGAGTTTAATTAGCTGTAGGAACGATATCCGGTCTTCTTTCACGGTCGCGGGAACGTTCATTTAACTTGAACCGTTTCCGAATTTCTCGGGCATACGTTGAAAGGACGTCGATCCAGCGGAGTCGTCGCAGGAATCTCATTACGCCACTTAATTGCGTTCCGCGGGAACCTCCTCTTCCGTGGCTCTGAATGCGCCTTCAGCCCTTTTCTTCTTTTCGAATTGTTCGACCCACCGTCCCGCAGCGTCACTTCCTTTTAGACGGATCGCAAGAAAATTCTATTTTCACCTTTTTGCCTCGCTCACGCTCGAGGAACGATTCTTACGCTTCGAAACCTT